GTTGCCGGCCAGACCCACTCCTCGCACCACCAGTACCACTGAAAGTGCTGAGGAAGAGGAGGAGGATGTCCTGGATGAGGAGCAAGAAGATGAGGAACAGGATGGCAGCGAGTATGAACAGGAGTCCGACGAGGGAACTGAAGAGCACTCCGAGTCCTCCAGCTTGGAGAAGTTACCACTCCAAGAGGAGAACGTAACCCCAGTGACGGTAGCCAAGAATGAAGCATCCTTACCTGTAGAATCCAACTCTGAACTCACCACCATTTCCGAAGTGGATCATGAAAGCACCAGCATTGGCAGCACTGAAGAAAGCCAAACGGATGTCTCCGAGGTCACCATTGCCGAGATTGAGGTCACCACTCTGCCCCCTACTAATGAGGAGGAGATTGTAGAGGAAGCCACCACCATTGTTCCACAAGAGAACCAATCCACTGAAGATCTCCATGTGGAAGAGGAAATCGTGACCACTGAAACTCCAGTGGAGAGCACCTCCAGGCAGGAGGAAATTGAGATTCAAAAGGTGGAGGAAAACGTGTCCAAGCCGGAGGAGAACGTGTCCAAACCGGAGGAGAACGTGTCCAAGCCGGAGGAGAACGTGTCCAAACCGGAGGAGACAAAGTCATCCAAACAGGAGGAGCACAGCTCATCCAAATCCGAAAACCAAAGCTTGAACAACCAGGAGGAGCTATCTGAATCCCAGTACGACGACGAAGGCGAGGGTGAGGAATACGAGTACGATGATGAGGAGGGTAGTGAGGACTCTACTAGGGAGGTGGAAAACCAGGACTCCAAGGCATCCACACCGAGTGGCGAGCACGAAGAAGATCGCGAAATCATATCGGTGGTCACGACCAAGAGTGTAGTTAATGGATCCACAGTCCTACCATCTCCAGTTACTCCTGCCTCCAACTCTCTAACCGAAGAGGCGGAAGAGGAGGAAGAGGAGGAGGCATCTCATGCTGAGCTTAAATTGGAGACCACCACACCCATTACCCTGGAGGAGGAGAAGGGCAGCAATGCCACCGAGAACTATGTGGTGGTGGCCTCCATCCAACCCAGTCGTAGTATCAATGGAGCTCGGTTCCTGCCCTTCCCGGCCATTGAGCAGGAGGAGACCAAGCAGACCCTCTCCGAGCTGGAAAGGAAGGTGCACTCCAAGCAGCAGCAGACGCCTGCTCAAAAGCCATCAGAGGGCAGCGAGGAGGTGCAGCCGAGTTCCTCCTCCAGTCAACCGCCAGTGGTTGCCTCTACGGAGAGCATCATCGACAAGCTGGACCGCGTACAATCGGAGCTCTCCAGTGGCTTGCTCTCGGGCAAGTACCCCATCATCAGCCAGATGGACTCCTCCACGCCAGCAACTAGCACCACTGTGGGAACAGGTGCAGGAAAGTTCGCTCCTCACATTCGGAAGTATCAACCCAGGACTACATCCCATGCTCCCAGAACCACCAGCAGTGGCAATAAGGTGAAAGTCCACCACTTCGATGATGGGGAAATGGATGAGCTGGCCACCCTGCTTCCTGTGGGCTTTAAAGCAAGGCCAAGCTACAAAAACCGTAAAATTACGACCACCACTTCCACCACAGAAGCTCCACCAGCTGAGATATCAAAACCCAAACCAGGACGCAACTCCACCATCAGTCGATCCTTTAAGAGTGGTCAGGTGACTGTGCAAGATGTGGCCCAGGCGGGACTACTGCCCAAGGGATACAAGCCGCCCAAGACCACCTCTACGACGACCACTACTGGCAGACCGGAGGAGAGTAGTCCATCCTCAGATCTGGAGAGCCTCTTTAGCGAAATAAAGTTTGATGAAAACTTGGCTTCACTCCTTCCTAAGGATTACAAATTGAGCAATACTCCCAAGCCGCAGGCGAATACCACCACTTCCAGTCCCTCGAGCACTCCCAGAAATCTCCCAGTTGCCGTCCCCTTCGATGATTTGAGCACCTTCCAGCTGCCTCCTGGTTACAAGGCTCCAGCGGCCAAGGAGGAACCCAAGTTGCCTCTCGCAGTAACCCCCATTAAAATAGACAACTTGAAGGATCTTCTACCTCCTGGATTTAAGCTTAATGAAACGGAGAGCGATACCAGCGATGAGATTCCACCTTCCCTGCTGCCACCTGGCTACAAACCCAAGAAACTGCATCCCGCCTCCACCAGCACCACTTCCACAACAACAACAACAACGGGTAAACCCAAGGCGGTGTCTTCCAGCACCACTGAAGCTACAGCTGCTACGGAACCTGCCGGAGGAAGTGGCTTGAAGGTGGTGTTCCCGAAGGGCTTCCACAAAAGACTGGGTTCCCACCGTCTGACCACACCTCATCCCTCAGGAGAGGGAGGTCCTTCCACTGAATCCTCAAACTCTGGTCCACAGGTGATGATTAAAAAGGGTCCACCAACCAGAGCCACCACTGAGTTCACCGGCTGGCCAACTCCACCCACCACACCGTTGTCCATCGATAAGCTAAATGCCCAAACTATCAACTTTGAGGATCTGCTGACCGCCAGTGGAACCAGCAGTACCACGAGCACTACCACCACTTCGACTAGCACCACCACTACGACCACTCCTCGTCCGACGAAACCTGGTCACTGCACCGCCGACTGCGATCTGGCTGCCACCATCAAGATCATCGATGGTGTGGCCTGGAAACCGGAGCTCCTGGATCACAATACCTTGGAGTGGAAAAATCTAGCCCATGAGCTGGAGGCACAGGTGGGTTTTGTAAAACATAAGGCCTAAAATGGGTTCAGAATGGAACAGCCCATGGGACACAATGGGTTCTGGGTTTCCTCATTTTCATCTTTATAATAATAATATAATTTTAATATTCTTTTTTTTCCCAGCTCAATGACGTCTATTCTGGAGCCCCTCAGCTGAACAAGTGGTACAAAAAGGTGCGCATTGATAGCTTCAGCAAGGGCAGTGTACTGGTCGACTACTATGTGGAACTGGCCAACATAACCGAGGATGTGGATACCCTGGAGATCCGACAACTCTTCCACGATGCCCTCACCAAGCCAGCCACTCCGGTTTTGCCCGACAAGGATGCCCAGGAGAATGAGACGGACAGCGTTTCGGGACCGCAAGAGGAGCAGCTGGTCACGGCCAGCTATCAGATGGGCAAATACATCATCGATCCGGTGGCCACAGATTTCAGTGGTAAGCAAAAGGTTTAGATTTATGTTTTATGCATCTGATATTAATATGCTTAATTTCCTCCCACAGTCATAGCCAAAAATGTTCACACTAATGTGGAGTTTGCGGAGGAGGATCTGCTCATTCCCCAATGGGCCATTGTGGTGATTGTGATTGGAGTGGGTTCCCTGGTGTTTGTCGTCATCTTTGGTGTCACAGTGGTAGGTTGAATAAATATTTTGAAATTTCCGAGTTTGATATTAATTACTAAACCCATTCCAGTTGCTCAATCGCCAGAAGAGGGCCAAAAAGACACCTATACCTCTTACAAACGATATGCTAAACGAGCTGAAGGTCAACCATATGGGTGGTGCGGATAATTATGGGGTAGATGACTTCTACAACATTGATGATCCCTGGAATGATACCAAGCAACCTATTAAGCCGAAGGTACCGCAACGTTCCTCTGTAATTATCATAGTAGTTCTTGTGATTTGATCTCCAGGGGGAGTTATGGAATTATACATACTTATGATTATTTATTTTCCCCACAGCGCTTCACCAACTCAATGCACGGCAGCAACAGTTCCAACATCTATGACAGCTGGAGATCCACCCGCCATCCGCACTCCAGCGGGGATTACTTCTACGACCAGCAGCCGACCTATTCGCAGAAGGGCGACTCGCTGAAGAGGCCGCAGCTCCATCATGGCAACCACGGTAGCCACAGCCAGTACCCCGCCAATCACCACCACCAGGCCCCGCAGCAGCAGCACCAGCAGGCCTATGGACACCAGTATCCGGATGCCTTTGCCGATGCCCACCAGATGTATAGCTATAACAACCATGCGAGTCGGACGCGCTACTCCCGCGACTATGATCCCGATTTTTGAGCGGGCTATCTTGACTGGACTGGACTGGATGATCCAGATGATCCATCCTTATCCGTGCACTAGCTTTAGTAACTTGCGAACGATTTTGAGTTGTAACTTAATAGCGTAAAGATTCGTAGTTGTAATGCTGCTATAATTTATCGTACTGCCTGCTGGCTTGGCTCAAAAGTCGGACACTTTTCAGTAACCACAGCCAGCCGTAGCTAAACTATGTATAAGCTATCTACTTTTGTATACTTAATGGAGCTGCTATATCTGGATGCCTTACACTTCCACTTAATATACGTATGAAGGAAATGTTTCGTAATAGAACGTTGGGGCATGCACCCCGGAAAATAAATAGTCATGCACTCTTAGTTAATCCTAGTTGTAATGTAAAACTAGATACACTACAATATATACTTTGTATTATTTAAAGTACTGGCGGCTTGCTATAATACTAATGATGTCTGAGACTAGACAGAAAATAAAAACCTATATACAAACAGATAATTGTTTCTTTAAGTTAAAAAAAAGAAAATAAAAAAGTAATTGCCGAAACCCGGGATTGAACCGGGGACCTTTAGATCTTCAGTCTAACGCTCTCCCAACTGAGCTATTTCGGCAGTTGGAATTGTTGCGGCAAGAGCCGGTTTTCACACCACCAATGGTTTGAGTCTAATTGGAATACATTTGAGTCAGTGTTGTATAATGAAAAATAAGTTTAGCGAAGACATCTACCAATACAATTAATTAATGCGCACACTAACACTAGTAGCATATTTGACACAAGAATTGCATCTGCCGAAATAGCTCAGTTGGGAGAGCGTTAGACTGAAGATCTAAAGGTCCCCGGTTCAATCCCGGGTTTCGGCAATAACTTTTTTATTTCTTTATTATTATATTTTTAAAGCCAAATGAATTATTAAAACGCCCTGCCTCCCAAAACAAAAGTCCAGCTTCACCCAGTTAAATAAAACATCTCTATTTTAAGGCTCATTTATTTTAAATCCCTTTTGGTTAATGGAGCAAAGTCCTTTTCAATGTGCGCAGGATTACTGCCTTAGAATCCTTAGTCATTTGATTCCTAGATCTCGCTAAAGCTAAAGAGTTAACGATCGATTTGTGTTGTATTTTGGGAGGGTTACTTCTATCTGCTTAAATTCAAGGTTTGAATCCTCGTTCTTAATAAAAAATCAATAGATCTCACATATGCACTACATTTTGAGGGTGTTTAGGGGATTTTGGGAATGGGAGCTGGGTTGGGGGTTCTTAAATATCTACCAATTGTTTCGATTTAATTAAAGTCAGATAAAATTTTCACTAATATCACCTTCTAGAAATTTGTCCAATTCGTTTTCATTAAAAACTGATGTAAATACATATGTATATGAAGTTTGATCCTTAAGCTTTGATTCTGGCGATGGGGCAATAAATAAAATTAAGATCAACATAAAATTTAATTTAAATAATTTGCATTTATTTAAAAATTAAAAAATAACTATTTTGATAATTGAGTAATTTTTCAAGTGCTTTGTTTTGCTCTCTTATTTTTCATATCTTTTTTGGGTAGGCAATCCTTTCGCTCACATACTTATAAAATATGCAAGCGAAACTGTCGATGAGTGAGTGTGTGTGGGTGTATGTTTAAGGACGATTTAAACAATAATTAAAAACTTAGCAGTGAGTTCGATTGGGTTTTATAAATGTACAAAATGTAATTAATAAACATCAAAAATGTACTAAACTAAACAAAAGCACGAAAAATTGCCGGTCCAATGCCTACAATTAAAAATTTAGTTATGCCTAATTATCAACTATGATATATGTATAATCTTGTATAATTGTATGTATAATTGGTTTCGTAATATTTTAAACTACAATTTATAACACGCGCCACGACGTAAACAAACAAAGGCCAGGATAGATATATATATGTATATGTCTGCTTGGGGGTGTGAAAGTGTATATATTCATATATATATGCACTTGGTAACTATGTATACGATGAGTCAGTACATACTCGCTAAATAATTAAATTTTTAACTGCAAAATGCGCAGCACACAAGATTAAACAGCGCTGCGGGAGCAGTTCATCAACAAACAAATAAAAATAAAAACTTATCATCTTCTTGACCAGGGTCAGTACAATTTTGATTTCAAATCGCCTTGATATATGTTTCTTTATAATGGTGTATTATTATGAATATATTTAAAGGTGTCTATGTATATGCATATGCGTGGATCGGGTGAGGGTCACAGTGTCGCTCCATCCATCTTCTGGTCCCTACTCCACGGCAAAGCCGCAGGTCTCCTCAACGGCCTGCGTCAGCTTGTCGCAGAGCAGCTGGTACGTCTCGTAGGGCGGCAAATCGATCCGGTTAAAGCAGGTGTGCGCCTTGGGCAGGTTCTGCGTGGGCACGTCGGCAGTCAGGTGAATGGTGAACAGTCGCGGACCCACCGCTCCCGTGGATCCTTGCAGCGCTCGGAATCCTTGCAGTGGCACTCGCGACGATCCCGTCACAAACTGCAGCAGGCGGGCTCTCATCTCAGAGCTATAAGACTCGACCACCTGGAAGAGATTACAACGCAATTTAGTTATCATTTAATAATGATTAATCATAGATTATTAGATCATTTGGATTAGTCTACACACCTGCCAGAACCACAACACCTGCGTCGTTTCGTTCGTACAGTGCTTCAGTCTCGTATTGTTCCGCCAGTCGTTGACATCGATGCTGGAGATGCCGCCAATGACCAATTCCAGTTCGCGTTCATCAAACGGTCTTAAGAGATGGCTGGGTATAAGCTCACAAAAACCTAGAAAATATAATCTATTTAGATCTTTGCTTAAGACGAGAGCTAATTTCCACTACCAACCTTTCTGCAAAGCCAAAAACTGCTGTTCGATGCCGCGCATGAAACGATAGTTTACATAGAGCTTGACATACTCCCGCTTGTTCTCCTCCGTCACAGCGATTGAGGCACCTCCGGGCTTCAATTCGTGCACCACCAGAGCACCAAAGCTATTGTTCTCCACACTGAATGTGGACTCGATGATGCCGCTGATGTTGCTCTCCCTAAAAATATCCGTTATTAAATAACTTGCTTTAGAAGCATATTAGTCATCAAACTCACAGCATCCAGGTGAGGCTGCGATGCAGATCTGGATCCACGCCCTCAATATCACCAAGCGTAATCGGTTTGTTCAACAGCTGCTTGTAGAAGGGTGTGGTGAAGCCGCCGTCCAGACAGTGACCATGGAACACGGCAATGCCCAGGGTGCGTCCCACGAAATGGAAATAGGACAGGTGATCGGGATTCACCCCAGAGTCTGGATTGATCTGCAGCGTGTAGTGGTCATCCCGACTGTACTGGAATAGGCCGTACTGGGGGTTCAGCATCTCGCGGGAGAGCAGGTGCAGCCACTCGCGCGCCACGCCACCGTAGTCCAGGCCCTCCTCGCCCTTAAACTTAACCATCAGACGCTTTCGCATGTCCTTGGCCCGCATTTTCATAATCAGTCTATAGCTCTCCTCGAAAATCTCGTTGCGCGACACCTCCAAGCGGCAGTGTCCGGATTGCGGTTGCATCGTTTGCAGCTCGGTGCGCAGAGCTCGCAGCTTGCCCACCAAATCGCGGCGATACTTGGGCAGGAGGTCGGCGCCCTCGAGCAATCCTTGCGGCAGATCCGGAACAATGCGATGGGGCGGGTTTGTTGTGGATGTGGTCGTCGTTGTAGTTGCGTTGTTCGCTGGTGCTGGCTGGGCTGGAACGGCTGTGGTGGCCGAAGGAGTGGCCGGGGCAGGAGGAGCAGCTGGCGGAGCAGGTGTGCCTGCACTCGCAGCAGCCGGCGGGGGCACGGCTCCCCGTCTAATCATCTGCAATATACTGCCACTTAGCCGGGGATCCGTGAACTGTGTGGTTCGATTGTTGTGGTCCACAAAGTAAACCCTTCCCGAGGCCGTCTTCCGCTGCTCCCAGCCACTTGGCAATGGTCCAATTGCATCCAGCGTCAGATGCTGGGTGTCAAAGTCACGGGGTATCCGTGGATCGTGCCACGTAGAAACGCCCGTGGGTATGTGATAGAAGTACACCTGGCCTTGTTGCGTGGTCCTCATTTCATAGCCCGGCGGCAGATCCAGAAATGGACGAGCTGCCTGATTGGCAGCGGCAATGGCTGCCGAAGCGTAGCGCTGGCCAGATCCTCCACCGCCGCCGCCAGAGGTGCCCCCGTTTCTAGTTCCTCGCGAGGATCGCCGTCTCGTGGAGGACTCCTCACCCTGTTGCCGCGAACTGCGACGCTGGGAACGCTGACCGGGTGTGGCTGCTGTGTAGGATCTACTACCTCCACTTGGTGTGCTGTTTGCATTGGGGCTGTGCACATTTCCATTGGACGAGGGAGTCACCGAAGCTGGTGGCGATGTATTTGGGGTTGGCGGACTCTGACTGTGCCTGGGAGGAGTAGTCGTCGTTGAAGTTGGCGACGTCGTGGCGGCATCCTCCTGCGTCCATCCGTTGCTAGCACTTTGGGGCTGCGCCGCCTGGCCACTTCCGTTTGCGCTGCCGCTGCCATTCTGAGCATTCCCGTTCACATAGTTCTGCTGACCCGTAGGAGATGTGGGCGTGGTCTCTGGCTGGGCATGACCATTCGTTTGGTGCTTTGGCGTTTTCACATGATTGTCGTTGCTGTGCAGGCGAACCGACGCCGATGTCGTGCTGCTCGTGGGCGTAGCCGGTTCGTTTGACTGACGCTGCTCCAAAGTGCGACCTCCCGACGAGGATGAGGAGTTCGATGAGGAATTCTTCTTGCCGGGCGTTGTTGTGGCCGAAACAGGCGTGGTGGGGCTGGTGTTCTCCTTGCCCACGCTGGAAAGGATCTCCGTGGAGTGTCTGCGCTCGTCCGAGGCCGTCACAGCCAAGTCGCGACTGCGGTGGCCGTTGTTCATCAGATTCGTGCAGGTTGTGGAGCGCGTTGGTCCAGCCGGCGCCTGTCGATCACCGCTATTGCCGTTGTGTGTGTTGTGGCGTTGATGCGGCGAAGTGGTCTGGCTGCTCCCTCCCACAACTCCTGGATGCCTGGGCCTGTCCCACTGCGTGGACTTAGTCGCATGGTTCACATAGTAAATGCGTCCATTGTCCGTGCGACGCTCTTCCCAGCCCTCCGGCAAACTGTCCTCCGAAGAGTCATCTTCCGAAGGTCCACGCACATCGCCACTGGGTCCAACAATGGCCAGGGGGTTGCCACTACTGGGTCCATCCTTGGAGAGCAACGAAATTATGATTTGACCGCGCACTAGCTCATCGTCATCCGGCGAAAGTTTGCCCAGGTCCAAGCGTTGAACTGCAGGTAGGTATGGTATTAGTTTAAATATACGGAACATATTAGCAACAAGATTATCTTACATCCAGCTCCTTTCAGGCTCTGTATGTTGAATGCGGGTATCCTCACACATCCCAGAAATCCACTGCCCTTGTGGATCTTTCGCTGGTTCCAAACGGTTATCGTGATTGCATCGCCAATGCCCAGAAACAAATCGTAGTGTGCATTCCATTTGGGATCCAAGGAGGACTTGCTTATCTCCGTTGAGTACACTTGGCCAGTTCCATCCACCTGAACCTTAGCAAAGGGATCGGGTAGACCTGCAAAGAAAAATGTAAATGCAAATTAGCAAAACCAATCAAAGAATATAGTATATATGTTTATTTTCTATTGTCAACTATTATTATGAATAATGAAAATGTGGAAAATAGCTCTATTTAACACTGTAAATTACATATAAAGTGTTAAATTGGATATGCACACGAAATGTATTATAAAACAAACCTATTTAAAGGTAAACGAATATTCTTGGCTGGTTTAGTTTGAATCCAACATGGAAGGTTTCAAGTTAATAGTGCTTTTGGTACTGCTGATAATACCCCAATTTTATTCAACTACTAACGGATACAGCCATCGACACCCTGGCTTTGCCCAGCGCTTGCAGATTAAACCTCTCTGCTTGCAGGTGCCTCAGAAACACACCGAAGCTCCAACTCCAACGCCGACTATAATCTTTTCTTCATTGGAGGAGGTCAGCGAAGCAGAAGCAGATTAATCGTACTAGAGTTCCCCGCCGAGTGTGAGTTCCCTGATTGGTTTTAGCTTATCAGTTTCCGTCTGTGAAGCCCCTGTTCTAAGATGAGGCCTATATAAACGCGGTCATTTCATGAAAGATCATCATACTGAAAATTGCAATGTCTTCTACGTGGATTCACCTGCTGGGACTGCTGGCTCTGTTCCTTTTCGTCAACCTGGCTACAGGAGAACCCTTCCCCTTCGACGAGAGGCGCCATAGAGGATGGAATCCACGTCCAGGATCAATGCCGCAGATTCCCACCACACCACCATTTAATCCGTATGGATAGGGCGACACAAAAATAAATATAGCTATCTCAATTTCAATCCCGAATACTTTATTGGAGGATGAAAGTCGCAGATTTCCACCATACCAACCTTTTAATCCGTATGGCTAAACCCATAGTCTAACAAAAATATGTGTATATAAACACCCAAAATAAATATATCCAACATATTTTCATTTTTTCGGAACTTTTTAAATGTCCCCATGTATTGTGTGGAAATAGTTTTACTATATTTAGAACTCGACTGACAATCAAAAGGGGGAACTCTTCAATTTGGGACCCAGACCCAGACCCACTCCACTCTTTGATTTTTAGTGTAAGGGCAAGAAATGTCAATTAAATCTGAACAATGCTTCAATAAAAATGTTTACTTCCCGTCGAGCGCTAAATGTGAATGCGGTCAAGTGTCATTAGTCAGAATATAGAGATATGGTAACAGACATATATACTATGCAGTAGTGGGGAATGAAATCTATCCTCCAATCTCCGCTATCGCTTATGCTTATCGTCTTAGACGGCCATTGATAATGCCTGGAATCTTGACAAATTAAGCGCTCGGCATTCCGGCTGAATTAAACAATTAAGAGCCATATTGAGCCGGAGACGATGATTTATGCGTACCTGAATCGACCAGACTCAACCAGTCCAGTCCCTCCCAGTCTGACGGCCTGTGAGTCATACATATAACCCGGTAGATATCACAACTAAGTTTTTTCGCACTCCCATATTTGTATCTACATATAGGTAACTAACTATCTATATCCATTCGTGAATCGCTATCTCAAGGCTGACGACGCTGTTGTCATGGCTAGGGCCATGCTGAAGCACAGCAAGAGCATGAACAGGCTGGAACATCAGCTGGTGAGGATGGGATTCCATACTATCAACCATCAACCCGTTTGACTGACTTGGCCAGGTAATTCGAGTAGGCCACATTGCGACGTCTTCGCTGTCGTCGCCGGGCAGCTGTTGATTGATTTTATGCAAGAGAGAACATACAAAGAACAGCAGGGGAAGAGAATAAAGGTAGGTAGACAGCAAACAGCTAAAGAACACTCTATATATGGAAGTAAAAGGTGTGTTTGAAAGAAATGTGCTTAAACTTCCTCTGCAATGCATTTAACCCAAGTTTTCTTCGGTACCTAACATGAATCTGTTTTATAAATCTTAAAGTTCTCTGGAAAAACAAAGAAATCTAACTATATTTACATGAAGTATACTAAACCCTATAAAATCCATTGATTTCTATACTAGATCTAAAGAATTATAATACTTTTAAGTTGTATTGAAAGAACTGAACCTATATTATAAATAGAATCCCTTATAGAACCTATTGGTTTCTCCACTAGCTGTACTTACTCCGCTCGGAATAAGGTCGAGTCACTTTGTCAAAACGACAATAGATTTTAATTTGTGCCGAGTATAAAAACAAATATATTAGAACAAAGTATTATGAAAAAGTCGGAACCGACTTTAATCTTATATGATTTCATAATAACTGCCAGTGTAAACTGAACCAAAAACTCTGGGGGATGTATAAATGTGTCAGGGGAACTAGATTGTTAAAAAAAAACTGGAAGATTAGAAACAATTTGAGAAACACCAGATTCCCCCTAGTACCCTTTAGAATAACTACATATGTACTATAAGCGATAAATGAACCCGACAGATTGCATAACCCAACATCAGACACCAGCTATAGTTCCTCACTCCCTTCATGGATGAGCTGCCTGAAAAGTGAGAAAGAAGAATGAAGAAAGCCCGCTTTTGGGCCAATATGGCTGCAAATACAACCCCCTTTGGCTTAACGCTACGTGGCACAATTTCGTGGCCCAGTCGACAAGGCGAGGAAGTTAACGACTGGCTGCACTTTCACTCGGACGGAAGCCGGCAGTCAGAGACGGTAGTCAGCGGAGCTTGAAGTCAGCCTCATGCCACATGCCACATGCCACTGCTGGAGGATAGGAACTCGACACAAAAGAGTACATATTAGTCACCGCATTGGGCATGCTTTATTCTTGGCAAGGAGCCACCGTTTGACAAGGGAAGCGCTCGGCGGCGGCGGCTTCAGCGGCTGCCTGCTCATCGGCCTCCCGCTTCCTGATCCTCGCCTCGATGAGCGGACGGAAGTGACGAATGAGTCCTTGGGGCGGCCAGGCGGCACCATCGCCCAGGGCACAAATGGTATGTCCCTCGATCTGCTTGGTCAGCTCCCACAGCATATCGATCTCGCCGATCTGCGCCCGTCCAGTCACGAATCTCTGCATGATCATGTTCACCCAGTGTAGACCCTCGCGACATGGTGTGCACTGGCCGCAGCTCTCGTGCTTGTAGAAGGCAGACAGACGGGCAATGGCCTTGATTATATCCGTATCCTTGTTCATCACAATTACGGCACCGGTTCCCAAGGATGAACGCACTGCCATCAGTCCATCATAGTCGTGGATTGCAGTATTGGCATCCTCTTGAGTTATACAGGGAGTCGAGGAGCCACCCGGAATGATGGCCAAGAGATTGTCCCACCCACCAATAACTCCACCAGCATGGCGTTCAATTAGTTCCTTCGTAGGAATGGATAGCTCCTCCTCGACGGTGCAGGGATTGCAGACGTGTCCGGAGATATTGAATAACTTGGTGCCGGAATTGCGGGTACGTCCAAAGCTGGCAAACCACTTGCCACCTCGCCGGCAAATTGTTGGGGCGACTGCCACCGTTTCCACATTGGTCACCGTGGAGGGACAGCCAAAGACACCGATGTCCGCCGGAAATGGGGGCTTGTTCCGCGGCTTTCCTGCCTTGCCCTCCACGGATTCAATCAGCGAGGTCTCCTCGCCACAAACATAGGCTCCAGCTCCACGTTGCACATAGAGATCGAACTCAAAGCCGGAGCCACAGGCATTCTTGCCCAGATAACCCGCCTTGTAGGCCTCTATGATGGCATACTGCAGATTACAGGCCTCGTTGTAGAACTCGCCACGTATATAAATAAATCCGGCATTGGCACCCATTGCCTTTCCTGCGATGAGGCATCCCTCGATCAGCTTGTGCGGATCGTGGCGCATTATTTCACGATCCTTGCAAGTGCCGGGTTCACCCTCATCGGCGTTAACCAGCAGAAACTTGGGCCTGCCATCGGGCGGCCTGTGCATGAATGACCACTTGAGACCACTGGGGAATCCTGCCCCACCTCGTCCACGCAGTCCGGAAGTCTTTATCTCGTTCACTATCCACTTATCACCCTTTTCGAGAATCTCCTTGGTCTTGTACCAATCTCCTCGCTTCATAGCTGCCTTCAAACGCCAGTCGTGGCGTCCATACAAATTGGTAAAGATGCGGTCAGCATCGGCAAGTGGCCCAAAAGTTGTTTTCGTCTGTGGTGGCGGAGTTCCAGGAGGCGGACCTTTGGGTGGAGGAGGCTTAGGAGGCGGGGAAGAACCTCCTTTGGGTGGAGGAGAATCACCTTTCGGCGGAGCACCGCTCTTTGGAGGAGGAGAGCCTCCAGAGGCTGGTGGAGCAGGTCCTTTAGGGGGAGTTGGTTCCTTTGCCTGCAGAATCATAGACGACTTTCTTTCCTGCACACCTTTCATGTTCATCCCAATCAAGTTCACATCTATAAATTCACTTCTCTGCCCATCTACTTTCTCCTCCAGTGGAGATTTCTTTCTTTTAGTGATATCCTTCAGCCTCTTCAGCATTTTGGCTTCCATTTCTCTTTTTTCGTCTGGATCTAGTTCTTTTTCGACATTCTCATTGATGGGAAATTTCGTTGTGGGCGGCAGTTTCTCGGTGGGAAATTTTTGGCATTCTACCTTGGTAGGTTTATAAATTTCCCTCTTTGCTGCGCGCTGCTCAGCCGATAGTAAATCGTCGTTATCAGTATTGATTAGCTTTTCTTCGCTCACAATATAAGATATTTTGGTTTCAATTGAGCTTTCAGTGTAATATGGAACGTTTTTCTTTACATCTTTTAGGCTAGAAGCTCCAAAAATGTTCACCAGCTTCTTATCAGCGACTTGCAAGGCATCTTGAAACTTCTTTACTTCCGATAAGCTTCTATGACCTCGAAACAGTCGTAAAGAAATCTTGTAGGCACCAAAAACCCGGCGATTCAGTAGAAAAGATATCATATTTTCTATAAATTTCTATATCCGGCTGCTCTGAATACTATTTCGAGTGTGTAGTATGTCGTTAATAATGAAAGGAAACTCCTAAGCTTACTATGTCAAAGATTTTTGATGAAGAGATATGAAAAACCCATTATGCAGCGTTTATTAGTCACAATTGTGTAGTTTATGGCCCAACCGATCTATTTATAACTTGGTAAATGTACGAAAAATCCAAGCTTGGACTTTCCTATTGATGACGGTACGCGGCGGTGGGTATAATTCAAATCTAATCAACAAGAATCGATAAAATGTGAGGAACAATATATATATATATATGGGGAGGAAAAGCAAATACCGAATAACTGTGCCGTATTCTATAGCCTCATGGAACTTGGACATTAGCATTAATATGCCAATCAATATGGAAGTGACACCAGCCATAGGCCATAGACCCCTTTTTTGGGCACCCAAAGATCCCCCATTGGAATCCCGCGGATATGGTACATCATATATCGTATAGCTAGCATTTTTTTAGGGCAGCACATTGGGCAATGCGTGGCGCGTGATTTAAGTGCAGCCGAGTGTAAAAAATGGACAAGAAGTGGAAAAAAGCAAATAATAAATCACCAATACAGGCAAAGAAAAACCATGCCGTGTGTGCTTGTGGGCGAATGCGAGCGAGTGAGCCGCAATGAAAGCAAATTAGTAATAATCACTTTTGTTATATCTAAACAAAATATGGAAAAAGAGCTCAGATATGGCACCACTCACACTCACCCACTTGACTTGATGAGTGCGAAGGGGGCGGTGATGTGTGTGGGGCCCGCCCCTTTTCCGCAATTTGTATAAAAATGAAAGTAGACAAAAGGAAGTGCTAAATTTAGCGATACCTCATATGCATAGATAAATGCGAAGAAGCAGAGGCAGTAGCACAAATAAAACAAAACTTTAATTTGCCGAAAAAAAATTGTGTTATGATTGGAAGGCTAAACAGGTGCGTAATTGATGGTTCTTAAAAGAAAACATACAAAACTTTGCTGAATTTGGAGCAGGAAACTGCTTGAAATTCCCCCTAACTAACCAAAAGTGAGTCAATCAATTAACCCCAGTCAGGTGTACGAAATTCCCCAAATATTTAACGTAATCAGGAAAATTAAGTGATTATGGCCAACTATACATGGTATTTGCTGGAAAATTAGTTAATTATCTAATAAAATCAGTACTTTTCCAGAAAATATGTCTAATACAATAATAAAGAAATTAAACATATTAAAAATCATTAAAAAACATAGATTTTGTTTTTGAAATATTTAAAAAATCAAAAAATAATCAATACATTACGGTCCCTAGTAACAATCCCAAGGTTTTTGTTGGACAATCTAAACTCCAAGAAAGTAAATCATTAAAATCAAAGAATGGAAATGAATTTTGGTATCGACCATAATGTAAGTTAAGTAGAACCCTAAATAAGATATTTATTTGTTTTATAACTAAGATTTTTAGGGAATGTTTTCCCGGCATACTTATAATTCTAAAACCGATTGATTTCCAAAAATACTCACGAAATAAATCCTTGCGGGCCAAATTTCTAGCACACAATACTGTAAAAAAGGGCAATATATTAGAGGGAATTACTCCGAGTTATTTATGAAGGGCGGACTTACTCGTTATTCGAACTTTGTGTGTACCATTGCGACGTGGGTAATCCAATTTATTCATAATTTCCGACTTTTAATTGATATTGTTTGGTTTGTATAAAAATAAATGGATTTATTTTGTATATTGATTATTTATACTTTGCGGGCATGTTTATTGGTGTTGTTGCTGTTGTTGTTGTTGTTGAAGTGGCGAACGGAGAGCGGAGAAGAGGGAGGTGAAGGAGAGGAAGCAGCGGAGGAGGAGGAGGAGCAGGTGAGGGCGGTGAGAGGTAATTTCATTGCCGAAGGTAACTGCAGTTGATGTTGTTGTTGCTGCTGTTGCGGTAGCCTTGACGGTTGCAATTGTTGTAGTTTTTGCGCTTGTGGCTGTGTGTCATGGCACACGCACATAGATGTATATATATTATTAATAATAACACCGATTTGCCGTTTCTTTTATTTTCTTTTCAACAAACTGCAATCAAAGATAACAAATAGAAATGGGTATTATTAGCGAGTTCGGCCAAGATAGTGTATGTATTTCCCCGCCCCGAGTGCAAAAACCCAGCCCAAAAGCGAAGGTGTTTGTATGTAGGTAAGAAATCTTGCAGGTAGTAGGCAAAATATTCACGAAAAACTCACCCGAAATTGTTTTGCCACCGTTGTTGTTGTTTATGCGATTGTTGTTGCTGCTGCTGCTGCTGCACCTCACACGCACATGTCTCGCTCACTCTCTCACGCACACACACACAGACGCAGCGCACGCATGCTGCAGGGGAGAGCGGGAGCTGTTGCGGGGGATCTGTCTCCCTCTCTCTCTCTCTCTCTGTGTATCTCTCTATTATTTCACAAATTGCATTAAATGAAATATTAATTAACTTTAATTTAGTCGCTGCTCCAGTATGGGTGCCACTATTTACTCGCACTCGCACTAGTATTTCCTTTTGCTCTATGTAGCTGTGTGCGCGAGTGTGTGGTGTGGTACTAGAATTTGCAATAATAACCAGCGGAGGCGCAGTTCTGTGGCTCTGGTTCACCGGAAGTCGGCCGAAAACTCTGCGAACGACGCACGCCCACGCTTGCACGGCCACGGAACGGTTGAAAGTACGCGATTTGTAGTGTCGCGGCGCGCTATTGTTTTACGGATTCCCCTAAAAATTTAGCTACTTCGAACGCCATTTTTATTAGTGGTGGGCAGGTCTGGATTAGTGTGACCGCGTAGTTATCGATAAACGACTCTCCAATATTTTGGTATATTTACGCTTTGGTTTTTATAAATATACCGAAAATTTGCAAATGGTCATACTTAACAGCCACTGTTAAATTTGTTCTTCAGTTTTTGTGAACTGTTAACCAGTTTTGGCGCACTTTTAACCGCCTTTCAAAAAATAGTTTTGACGCCGTTGTAGCCGATCTAAATTTTGGCGGCAACACTATACAAATTGCACTTTTAAATATACAAAAACGTAGAGTTTACTTAAAACAGTCTATCTATTTATTTATAAGATTAGGGAACTTCAGCGGTTTTACCAAAAGTGATCCAAAGTCTATCTGTTCTTTTATATTTTCTGTTTATAGAATGATGAGTTTAATATGTACTGTTGCCTTTAATAACAAATGAAATTCAATATAGGTGGTGAAGATTTTGTTTACTCTCCTTTTTTTAAGAGTTATACGTGTCGTATGAGTAACTTTAAGTCAAAGGTTAAAAAAGTTTGGTTTCAAATACATTTGCCAGAGATTTAAGAAATCCGTTAGATCTTGATCAATATCAAAACTGTTCCATTGCAACCAATATTGTCCGCCCACATTCCAAAAGAAATAACACGACCTTCGGTTAGTTTAGTTTATTCTGTATGCATATTGTATAATTTGTGTTGTTACGGTTATCATACATGAATAAATTAAATTATGCTTTTTATTCACAATACATGTGGGTTCTCTGCTCCTCCTCCTCGCAATTTTGCATTCGAGTTCTCGTTTTAGTTTAGAGTTCGGATTATTTTCACGTGTCTGTGGCCAAACACCATAAAATATATATTTCAAACTCAACATTACGCTCAACGTACATTCATATGCTACGCGCATTTTATTGTGGCTAAGTCAGTTTCGATTTGGGACTCAAATTCAAATTCAATTTTCAATGCTCCATGATGCTTTGCATTTTCGACTAGTCAATAGAAATATAATATTCGTGTTCTGTTTTGTTTAGCTAGTTTTTGAACTCGCAAGTTCTTCAATTCAGTTGTATTCAGTGTATTGTTTCGGCCGCAATGGTTCCTAACTCCCGTCCTCTGCCCAATGTTTCATGTTTATTTACAGCAATTGAGAATATAATATATAGTAAAATGTTTGCTACAGTTTCCTATAGTTGTTTTGGGGTCTGGGGAATCGATTCCTCTGATAGTTTCCTTTGCTAATCTCTCGCTAATCAGTAAATAAATTGTTTCTTTCGTTTCGTTTCGTTTTTTTTTTTTTGTACAATAGACGCGTGTTATCTTTGTGTGTTATCAGTCGTTTTTCATTTACTTTACATGAATGTGCAGGGAAATTATTGTTAAGTTTTACTTGTAAATAATCCTCTTCTCCTCGTCTCTAGTCGCGTCTCCTGCTCCTCTAAATATGTTTTTTGCATGCATACAGGTTGGTTACCAGAATTGTATTTCTAAATTGACACAGATAATTTAGGATCGATCACAAAGCGTAGTAAAAATAAGAAAAGGTAGTACACCACACAGACAGGTAAGTAAAAAGGTGTCCGTCTCCGTGTATATATAATACAATAATTACATGAATATATATCTATATATATATATAAATATGTATGTGTGTGTGTGTATACATATATTTATAATAATATAATATGTTAGTTTGCTTCGGTTGGTTGTCCCTCTCGTCGGACCTTAAACAACTACACCAACCCATCCGCAGAGACCAAAAAAGTTTGATATACAATAATTCGTCGCTGCCGCGCAAAATAGAATTACACATGCCGGATCGTAATAGAATCAGCAGCGTTGTGCAACTGACAGCGGGTGGAAAGTGGAAGTGGTTGGGGTAGATGGATGGGGATGGGGATGGGGATGGGGTACATATGTGGGGGGTACATGGGGGGTACTCACGGGGGATTCATGGTTCAGTGGCTCAGGCGTGCTGGGAGCTATTCTTACGGCATAGCGATGCGATTACATTACATTACAGGACTTATGCATATAGGGAAGAATAGAGACAGTGGACTGAGTGTCGTGTGTGTGATTTGCTCGTCTCCTGGAATTAAATTCCCCGGAGTATCTGTTAGGAATTCATACATACGCATATGTATATTGGCTCTACACCTAGTCTGATCTGTTCCTGTTTCTGAATCTGAATCTGTGTGAGAGGATGTGTCTGTTGGCTGACAATGGATCAGTCAAACTTTACCAATTGCCCCAAGAGGGAAGACAAGGTCCAAACGCCTTACTTCTTGCTCTTGCGCTTCTGCTTGGGCTCCTCCGTTGCGGATGCGGTTGCGGATGCGGCTGCGGATGCCGATGCGGCTGCAGCTGCTGCAGCGGTGGCGGCGGCGTTCAGGAGATTCATGTTCGGCTTGACCGTACCCTTCTTCTGGGTGGCCGGCTGCTGGGGAGTGGCCTGTGTGATGTTGTTGTTGGTCGCAGCGGCGGCATTGGCCGCCCCAGTGGTCTGGGACGAAAGGTTGTTGGCCGGCGTGGCCGGCGTCTCGTCCAGGAAGAGCGGATTCTTCACCTCCATCTCGCCGGTGGGCGCCAGGCCGGGACACTCGTACACGGTGTAGTCGCCCTCCTCGTTGTCATCGTCGCTCTCCACGTCCGACATGCCGCAGCTGCCGTCTGTGGCCTGGTTCTCCATGGCGATGATCTGCTGCTTCTGGTGCTGATAGTGGTACATCTGGGCACTCTGTGCCAGCTTCCGGTCGCCGGATGGCGAGACATCCTTGTTGGGTCCGGTTACTCCATATGCTGGGTACTCCACATCCGCTGCCGCCTTGTGTCGATTGTGGAACCTGTCGGAATGCGATTGGTTACCTTCTGGAAAATCAATTTAAAGGGTTTCTGGTCTACTCACCAAGTCACTCCAAGGGCCAGTAGTCCAACGGTCACTGCTGCACTGACTCCCGCTATCAGGGCCACTATGTACACCCCCATCTCGCTGTTCATGCCCATGTGCTGTCGCAGCACAATCTGCTCCTGGCTGGGATCGCCGCCTTGGACCAGGGTCAGATGAGCTGGTGCCTTGCTCTGCTTCTGCAGCTTGTTGATCAGAGCGTTGAGCTCGTGTGGCGTTTGATCCTTGGCCTGCGGTAGATTAACTCCCGCTACTGCTGCGGCGGCCACTGACTGCGGATTGATGCGGTGGAAGTTGGCGTTGGCGGCGTCCAGCAGCTTGGGCGGCTCAACGGGCACCGGAGCCGGCACTGGCGTATCAATCTTGGTCTTGCTGGCGGTGGTGGCCACCTCGGGTGTGGGTTCAATGGGAGCATACTCCTCGTAGTCATCTAGAGCCCGGGAGTCCAGCTCGCCCGAAGGATCGTTTGGGTTGTCGAAGAAGCGAGCATCGTTGGGACCCACGGCGAAGGGAATCCGCTCGCGAAGCACACTGTTCCGGTTGGGGGAGTTGCCCAAATTGGGCCGATTGGGCAGGCTGGGCAGCACTGGCAAACGGGGCAGATACAGAGGAGGACTCTGGACATCCGACACCGCCTCCATGGGACTGCCATAGCTGGCCTCCGCCTCCGCATTGTCATACTGATCGTACTGTTGGTTAATGTTGTTCCCATTGGTCTCGTAGTCCTCCTCCGCCTCCCGCTGCACCTGCAGCTCCTGCTGCCGCTGACGGTACCGCTCTCGTTCCAGCAGTTGCCGCTGGCGGTCCATCTTCATGTTGATCTCTTGCAGCTGCTGATCAAATTGCTGCTGCAGCCGGCGACGGGCGTACTGCTCCATCATCTGGGACAGGAAGGCGTACTCCTGCTCCTCCTGCGGATCCATCGCGGGCGCCTGAATGGGTCGGCGGCGCAGTCCTGCAAGGATTCGGATCGGAACGGATCAATTGATTAGTGGGCGCGGGCGAGGTGATTACGCTAATGTTAATGAGCCTGGTCTGCGTGTCAGCGTTCGGAAAATAGAAAGCCAAGTCGAAATAGAAATAGAAAGGCCAGTCGGGTGGTGGTGGTGGTCAGGACCACGAAAGCGTGAAAGGATTCGAAATAGACAAACAAAAGTTCGTTTTATTGCCAGAGGTTAAAAATAGACCAATTACACACGCGCCAGGTCAAACCAAGACCGAGCGGTAGAGTGAGGGAGACCAATATACAGACGAAGGACTGGGAACTGGGAACTGAGGCCTGTGACGTGCTTGGAAACTTTATCGCACTTTGTTGATTTCGATGTGGTGGGGGATATTGTTGCGCTCCAATCAAGGAAGCTATTTATTATGGCTGGTTCAGGAGCCCGAAAAAGCATGCTATGAAAAATACTAGTTCCTATCCCTTGAACTTCCGGTATAATTATAAGGTGTTAAATCTATTTTTGAAGTTAATGATTTTTAGGTTCTAAATGATAATGTTCCTAAAAATATAAAAGTTCTTAACCGCTGGATTTCCAGAAGAAATACATATATCTAAATCTAGATTATAAAGATTCCTAAAAACTGAAATTTTCTATCCTTTGGACTTCCAAAAACAAGTTTATCAAGGAAATAATTTTTTAGATCTAGAGATTAAGAAAAATTAAAGTTCCTAACCCTTGGAATTCCGAAGTAACTACAAAAATATCAAACATATGTTAAAAATCCACCATTATTTCCATCTAGTGATAAAAGTTTCTAAGAACCTAACGTACAGAAGCTGCTTTATGTATGTATGTCTTAATGACGCTGCAGTTGATTTTCAATTTTCGCCGAAGCGTAGTGCGTGGGTGTTTTGGTTTGATTCGGGAACTCTTCGCAGGACCTACTATGCATGTATCTAGTGCAGGGGATACACAAAACGAGGTGGCCGCCCCCTTTGGCCGCCTCCTGCGCCATTCCATTCCATTCAAACTTCAATCTAAGGGTGTATGGGTGTAGTGTGCTATTTTTAGGCTTACCTGGGTAAACGGACATTTCGCAATGACCCAATATGCTGCAGAGTACCGTTGCAGCGAGTGCGAAGCTAACGGTGATTTCCAGGCGAGCCGCCATCTTGCACTTGGCACAAATTGCACTTGCACTTGCGTGTATTTTCTTTGTTTTTTTTTCGTTCTTGATTCGGAAATTGCAATTGGAAAATGGCAAATATATCTAGCAATGCACGACAACCATTGCCATATGGCCGGTTAATGGGGCTTTGGCCAAAACGACGACGTCGACGGGGGTTATTGATTTTCAACTCCCACACTCGCAAGCACTCGCACACACTCGTGCAAATATATCCAAGTGGCAGCTGCTGGTGGTTGCTGCTCTTCGCACTTTTCGCGTGGGCGTGCAATATTTCTGGCTAATAACCTTTGTTAACGGCACTTCTCAAGTTCTTTTCGATGAGAAAACCCCTTAAAAAAAGGGGACTCTGCACTCAAACCGGCTGGCGGAAATGTCAAATGGTGCACTTTTCACACAGATTGCAGGCGAGATGAAAAACCTCAAAGGGACATATGGATGTGTGTGGAATATATATGTATGTTGATGGGAACTCCTGGGCCTGCGTTGCGCTGCCGTCGACGTATACCGTTATACTGAAGAAACTGAATGAGCCTGGCGGCGGCAAAAAGCCCGAGAAGAAGCAGAAGCTGTGACGCAAATGTTATCTCCGCCCCCGCGCTGTTAAATGTTGCGGGCAGCTTTTGAGGGCAGGCCCCGCAGCAACAACTACACGCAGACATATGCACACACACACGCAGGGGGACACAGTGGGCCAAGTAGGCGCCTGCGCACAGTGGAGCTGGAAAGCTCGGCACGTCCGAGTCCGTGGTTCTTTCAGTAAACACGGGGCATTCATAGCCCGAACCGAACCCACTGACAGGTGGCTGCCACTCACAAATCTCCGAGCCCCACCAGCCCACTCCCTCCCATTTCGGGGAGTCTTCCCTTTCCTGCAGCTTTTTCGCTTGGGATAGGGCGCGCTTTATTTTTATCAATGAATTGGCAGCCTAAGAGCTTTCCCCCCCAGCGAATGAATGTGGGTGTTATGAAGGGTCCTTAAGTCCGATCCTTGGAGGCTGGCTAATAACTGAAGGGATATACATATAGACTTTTACAGTGATTACAGAGATCAGTGAAGAAAAATAATTCCAGGTAGATTGCGAGTTCTTGAGATAAAAGTGCATACAGTCGAGGAGTATGGGTTTATCTCGAATTTCCCCTTCTCCTTATGGATTAACCATTCATTTTTGGCCAAAAGTGGAAGAGTGGCCTTCGTGGTTCCATCTTCTCTGTTCCTACACTTTTATCAAGCTCAAAAATGCAATATTTTTGAATCAAGGCGCCAAGTGTTCTTCCTCTTCATGAACATGAGTCATAATTTTCCTGAGCTGGTAACACCAACATCGTCTTTCTCTTTCACCATTATTAAATTCTAAGAATGTTAAAATATGGTTTGGGTCACAGCTACTCTAAAACGAATATGTTAAAAAAGCTTTTTATAAATAAGACTTGAGAAAGCTTAGCTAAACTCTTAACCAAACTTAACATAGACAACATTAGAAACTTTTATGACTATAAAGCAAATAAATTTAAAGATATTAAAATCTATTTCCTAATGCAAAAATGAATTTCAATACCCCTTTTAAGGTATTAACATGGTTTTCAATATTTTCACCAGAGTTGGACCATACTTTTTAACGGTCCAAATTATATTTAATTTTAATAAAATCTAGTTCCGAGCTCAATACCTTCCTCAAAGGTATAAACGGTTCTTTGAGAATATGGTTTTTTCCTCAGAGGCTGTTGACGGTCCCACTAATGAACTGGTTCTCCCGCAACTACACATCTGAGTCATTTTTAGAGGCGACAAAGGAAAAATTATAAACAAATACAATGGCCACCTTAAAGGGTAATTATACAAGGTCCCGCCGAGGCGCAACTAATGACTAACTTTCCCCCTTTCACCGGAACCCACCTGGCGTCCGCTGCACCTGTCCGGAAACCACCATGCAGCGTAAGTCTACACCCACCCCCGCAGGTGAACGCCTGATAACGATTTCCCTCGTCTTGCAGCCTCATCATATGTGCATTTTTGTCTTGCATGGGCCTGACTTTCCTGATCCTGGCCTGCGCCGTCCCGACGCCCAAGATATTCTATCCCTTCTTCGTCCTGCTCTTCTACGCACTGTCCGTTCTCCCGGTGTTCATTGCCAAGAGGACGACCCCGGGCACTGAGACCAACCCGAAGTCGGAGTTCGCCCTCTTCCTCACCGCGGGCATGGTGCTGAGCGCCTTCGCCCTGCCCATCGTCCTCGCCCACGCGTCGGTGGTGAGTGGTCATACGAGGTTATAGGAATTCTAATAGATTACGATACTCACACTGTCCTCCCGCACAGATCACCTGGACGGCGGGTATCCTGACGATAATAAGCAACATTATCAACTACGGCACCATTTTCGGATACGCCATGCGAGATGAGGAGCCCTATGGCTCAATGTTCTAAGGGAGATCCATAGTATAGAGGCACTTTACGCCCAGTAACCGGCTCAGAAGGATCGCTCCCGAGGTTACTGGCCTTTATCCGTAAGCACGCATGCTGTTCGCTTCTTCGCAGTCATCAGCCAATCTCATTTAATCAAGTGTATCCAGATAACATAAACGAAAAAGAAATAAACAGACGTAGTAAATTTAGTTGGCCTGGTTCCGGTTCACTTGCTGGTTCGATAGCAGAGCCGCTCCTCGATAGCAACTGGTTCATTTCACGGGCGTCGCGGGGAGGGATCAGCTGGCAGTTTTCAGTCAGAAAAATAATTTTGATAAACAAAACTACAAAAAAAATTCGGTGGAGAAAGGACTGTTTTCTTCGGTTAAGTTATATAGGAAGTTTTCTAACACTTTTTTAAGTATCCTGCCCTGTAAATACGTCCATGGCGATACTTTTTTCAATGTCGAGTGTCCACCTCCTTTGACAAATGGAAATTAGTCCTTAATTAGCACTTATAAAATGGATAGGATTGTAAAAACAGAAATAAAAAAGGAGGATATCACGGGCATTCCTTCTGCTACCCTCCATGGCATCGAAAACACCCAGCAGGACCATGGCGAAACCGACTTGGAGGAGGAGGACTGGACGGAGGCGGACCTGGAGCTGTCCTCTTTTCAGGATGTGGACACGGATGACTCGGATGTGACCCTCACGCAGGCCGAGACTGCGCACAGCATGCCCTTGAGCGATGCTTCGATGCGCAAGTATCCTTTCAAGCTGAAGCAAAACGAATGCGGGTGAGTGTGCGCTTTGAGGAAATCGAATCCCGAAGTGGTGACTAAGAATTTCCATTCTTCCAGAAACATCCTGACTGTACACCACACTGTCAAGGAGGCAGGTCAGCAACTGCGCATCCAGATAGCCGCCTGCTGCTTCAACGAGCTAAGCAACAAACTGGTGGTGATTGACAAGCGGTAAGGACGGTCCTAAGACTACCAAGGCAACCTTCTTATCCTATTTGAATCCCCAGTGGCAACATCTTCGTCTTCGACTTTGTGCACAAGCGCTACTGGCGCCTGGGATTCCTGATGCCTAGGGCCAAGCTGATTCGACCATCTCTCCTGCATATTAGCGACTATTATGTGGGCAACAAAACGGGCCATGTTTTCATCATAGACGTGGACAACTCAATCCTCGGGGCCCACGGAGAGGTGGGCAACGCAGCTCTAGAGGAGCTAAGCTGGAGCAATCGCCTGCAGAATCCACGCTCCTCCAACGCCTTGATGCGCTTTGGCAGCGAGGCTGTCCTGGTAAACCTGCACACCCTGGAGGTTTCACATCAGCTGGACTTCGATGAGTCGCGCTACACGCTTAAGTTCGCCGCCTTCCTGCCCAACTCCGACCAGTTCTTCATAGGATTCTCCAATGACTCGCTGCATGTGTGGTCCTCGCACTCACTGTGCACCTTGCGGATGGCCCAACCGATCAAAGCCAGAAACCGGAAGCTGAGACTTCTGCCAGCGGGTGAAACCATTCCGGAAATAGTCCTGCGAGGTGCGGATGACAGCGATCTGGAAGACGACTTGACGTTCGACTGCCAGGACTACGACTTTGCCGATGGATCGTTGCTCAACTACTGCTTCACGCCCGATGGCAACAAGATGTGCCTGAGTACCTTGGACGGCTACCTCCTAGTGCTCAGTGTGGCCTCCTTCGATCTGGAGAAGCTCTATCGCTTGACTGACTTTACCCTCCGCCAAATGGCCTTCTTGGCGCAGCCAAAGGAGCGTATAGTGTTTGGAATCACGGCCAGAAACCAAGCAGTCATGCTGGATCTGACCAACACGGACCACAAGCTGGTCGTGCAGCGTTCCAATGCGATAAGTTTGAGCCTGAGTCGGGATGGCAAGCTGCTAAGTGTTACCTCCCGTTGTGGGGAGGTGAATGTGTGGTCGACATGTCGCCTGTTCAACGCCTTGCAAGTTCAGACCCGCTGTCTCAACCAAATGAAGTCCACATTCAAGCAGCTGAAACCGCTACCGCCATGCAGTGTCAGTGGAGGTGTGAGCAAGGAGTTGCGACACCTGCTCAAACCAGAGCGGTTGAAAGCCATGCTCAAGGAGTACGGCTGCTATCCGGAGAAGTACAGATTCCTCATTTGGACATCCCTCTTGGACCTGCCCTGCAATAGTCCACAGTTCCAGGCCCTCATCAAACTAGGAGCACCTCTTATGGTCAGAAATCAGGCCAAGAAGCTCAAGGTTCGCAACGATGCCCAGCGGCGTGTTGTGATCAAGATCTGGAGCTGCCTAGCCCAATGGTGTAAGGTCTTAGCCCACGCGGACTTTATGCCGCACCTCATTTACCCGTTTGTGAAGCAGTTGCCCAAAAACAGTCTGGTATCCTTCGAGGTGATCGCCTCTTTGATCCTGAACCACTTCCAGTTGTGGTTCGAGTTCCATCCGCTGCCGCCTTCCAATTACCTGGCCATGTGCGAAAATATTCTGCTGCACTGCGACGAGCAGCTCTGCAAGTTTTACAAATCCCAGGAGATCTTGGCCAAGGATTTCGCCTGGCCCCTTCTAAGCACCGCCTTCTCTGAGGTCCTTGAAGAGCAGCAGTGGCTGTCGCTGTGGGACAACATCTTCTCAGAACAGCCTTGGTTTCCCGTCTTCTTGGTGGTGGCCTACAATTTGATTCATCGAGAGATCATCATACGACTTCCGGACAAGCGATCTGTCCTCCTTTTCTTCCACGATCAGAATCCAGTGGACATTGGCAAACTTCTTTCCAAGGCGCGCAAACTGATGGCCAAATGCGATCTTGCTCTTCATCCACAGCGTTTCATGCAACGATTCAGTCCAATTCCCAAGGGTGTATATCCCAAGTTCCTGAAGTATCCCAGCGAGTGGATCGAGCAGCAGGAGGAGCAGGCAGTATCGCTGATAAAACACAACCAGGAGATCGATGCCCGCATCCGCCACTTGGAGTTGGAGGAGGTGAAAATCATGGAACGCCTTGAGAACGGACTCAAGCAGGAGGAGCACGCCCGCCGCCTCAAGGAAATGGAGAAACTTTACCAGGACACGATTCATCGCGAGGAGGAGCGCATCACCTGCCAGCGCAAAATGTTGCTCACCTACCAAATGGAGGTGCGTCGGCGAAAGAGCGAGGTCATCACTAAGTTGCAGGAGTCTGAGCAGCGACGCAAGGTCCTGGAAATGGAGAAGGAGATTGACCTGCTGATGCACAACATCGAGCGCGAGCGTAGGCGTCACAACCAACAAATGCAGCTGGCCGAAGATGAAATACGCAACCAGGAGATGGAGCTCCTTGCCCAGCGCTACTACTCCGATACGCAAGGTGCTCCGCTGGCACAGAAGTACTACGATAATATCCAGAAACTGTGCAGTCAGCGGGATCAGCTGCAGAAAAATTTGCGGGAGGTATGTGATTATAGAGTAGATTAGATTTTGTAGTCCTTATAGTTTTTTTCCTTCCTTTCAGATGACCATGGAACAGTTGCGCACTCCGGCGATGTCATCCGCTCAATTCAATCCCCAGCTGTTGGACATCGAGAACTCCATTCTGGAAATCCAGCGCGAGTTTACGGAAATCATAACCACAGAGACAACTACTAGGGAATGCAGGACCAATTTTTCCTAATTAATAGCATAACAAATTGAGGCCTTTTTGTACAAATAATTGTCTAAGCTAGGATTATTTACATGGCACCGAAAAATAAATAAATAATCAAGGCACCTTGATTACTTTTTATCCGCACCCGCGTTGCTGGCACACGAAGGCACCAACATGTTGGGCACATTGATGAGCAGGTGTATGCTGGATTGCGGAATCTGCAGCTGGTTGGCCACTGAAAGATGGGTATAGATGAGCTGATTTATACAGGAAGAAATGTGGTAAGCTTACCGCCAGCTAAGCTGCTGTGACTCTTGTGCTGCTGCAGTTCTTTTTCCAGCCTGGCGATCCTCTCCCGCAGCTCCTGGTTCTCCTGCTGCAGTTGCGCATTCTGCTTGCGCAGATCCTTGTGCTCGTTTCGCATCTTGTTGCGGTAACGACAGGCAGCTGCCCTTCGCCGTTCCATGCAGTCCTCGTCCCGACTGCGATCCTTGGGTTTCGCAGCCTTGGACGGTGTGGAGAAGTTGCGTCTGTTATTGTTGCTGTGCAGGATGGCCTTTAATCGCTCCTTGATGGGCAGTTGTGAGGTGGGCGTCAGGCTGGCGCTGCTAGGCTCGTGAGCAGGTGGGTTGCAGGTCACCAGAATGGGTTCTGGCCTCCTACTGGCCCTGTGCGATTCGTTCGCGGTGGGTTTGGGCAGTATGTAGGGGCGAATGGCACTGGTAGGCTTTCCCCTGTGGGAATCTGTTGTGGCGAGGGGAACGGGAACTGTCTGGGCAGGCAGCACCCACGTGATGACCTGGGGCTGGATCAACTGCAGCGGCGGTGGACCCTCCTGACAGGCCTCGGGTGGAGTGTTCCCTGTGCTGGCCAGAAGCTGCTCCACATCCACGTTACTGCAGCTGTCACTCCGAGTGACCGGGTTGCCAGGCGGAGCCGATACCGTGGTGCTGGCCTCCAAAGGATACACTTGCGGCGTATGCAGGGACTCGCCGTCAAGAGGAGGAGCCTCTGGACGACTGGGAGTGCCGCTGACATTCTGCTCTGCCGCCCGCTGGAAGCCGATGTCAAAAGGATTCACGTGCTGTAGGTCCTCGAAGAGGCCCACCTCGTCGCAGTTCTTGATGAGGCGCGTGGGCGTAGGCGTCTGGTCGGCGGCGAACAGGTTCTCCGTCTTCTGGCCAAGCGAGAGGTCCAGCGAGATGTCATGTTTTGTCTGTGCCCGGAAGTTCTGGTAGCAGGATACCTCCCCCTCGGCGGATTTCGGCTCGAAGTCGCCGAAGGACACGCTTGCCAGGTCCTCCATGGCTCCAGGCGTGTCCATGCCAGCAATAAAGCTAAAAACTTGTTATTTACAAAACAAACGCTAACCGAACCCCCCACCTACAACTTTCTGTAAAACAGCTGATCGTGGGAGTACTTCAGCCCTGCTTAGAAAGAGACGAATATGTATGACGTTTACTGGATTTATTTGGATAAGAAGGTATGGTCACTTTAGCGTTTTATCGTTAGCTTTAAACTTTATAACTCAAATAACTTTAACTAGCTTGTTTTAATGTTCGAAGCC